CCTTTGCGGTTTTTAGTACCATTTTATATGATAAACGCTACGTAGTATAGGCTTGCCATAACTTTGGTCTACTTTACATCAGAATCGACTTCTAAACCAAAATTGTTCCTGTTTGCCACAGAAAACTTTAAAAGTTAGTTAACAAACGTTTTAAGAACAATCAAATATATTTAGAGTTGGGCTGTAGCTTAAGCTTCTGACAAAATATTTTTTTTGCATATTTTAATTTCAAATTCAAAGCATAATGATGACAACTTTTGCTTATTTGCTTTGCTTTAAAAAATTACACTATAATTAATAAAGAAAATGTAGCTTATCCAAACCTATTTCTAATTAAAAATATTAAATAATCATATTTTTACATAAAATTTGAAGTGCTGTAACTCACACTTATTTTATTAAATAAAAAAATTACATGGACTGCTAGTCGAGCGCAAAATAAGTGCTCCAACATAGAATCCTTCTATTTTTGAGCACTATATGCACTGTGTAATGTTTAGGGTAATATGATAAAAAAACATTAAGTATTATAAATTTCCAGAAAATGTGTAAAATATTTCACAACACATGCATGTATGTGTGTAGTAGTAAATATATGAAAATCGCATATCTCAAATGATTACATAAAAATTAGACTATTCATTCCATAGTGGCACAACATAAAATTATTCACTTGCATATAAAATTGACTATAATAATTAATTTATTAAATACATCAGATTTTTTCAAATGGTATTAACCAAAATCAAACACTTTGAAAAATGTTGCAGAAAATATGATATCACCTTTTTTTTAGGGACATTTTATACCGTATAGAATTTTTTATTTTTTGATGGGTCGCTGGCTCCGCGCTCAATGAAACTTGGCACACATTGTTATTGTACCTTACCAAAAATATGACCAAAACTTAAAGTTGGAACATTTAATAGTTTTCGAGATGCGTGGTTGATGGGTCGCTGGCTCCCCGATCAATACTAATATTTAAACAAATGGTGGTATGTTTTTAAAAACACATGTTGGGATTTTGATAAAACTTGGCACATATTGTTATTGTACTTTACCAAAAATATGACCAAAATTTAAAGTTGGGACATTCAATAGTTTTCGAGATGCGTGGTTGATGGGTCGCTGGCTCCCCGATCAATACTAATATTTAAACAAATGGTGGTATGTTTTCAAAAACACATGTTGGGATTTTGATAAAACTTGGCACATATTGTCATTGTACTTTACCAAAAATATGACCAAAATTTAAAGTTGGGACATTCAATAGTTTTCGAGATGCGTGGTTGATGGGTCGCTGGCTCCGCGCTCAATACTAATATTTAAACAAATGGTGGTATTTTCTCAAAAACACATGTTGCGATTTTGATGAAACTTGGCACACATTGTTATTGTACTTTACCAAAAATATGACCAAAATTTAAAGTTGCGACATTCAATAGTTTTCGAGATGCATGGTTGAACAGATGGTGGTATGTTTTCAAAAACACATGTTGCGATTTTGATGAAACTTGGCACACATTGTTATTGTACCTTACCAAAAATGTGACCAAAATTTAAAGTTGGAACTTGGACAAAGTTGGATATTGATTGCTAATTTGTATTTAACATTATAGTTATACTATACTAATAACAATTTAGTATTATGTTTTGCCACTATAGAATTCGAGCAAAAATATTATTACTTTACATTATTATTTTCTAATAATAATTTTCGTAGAACATGAAGATTCGCCACTTGAAAAAGGAAGAAGAATTGGAAAGAAAATTTTCTTTGGCCAACATGTCGCTGACCAAGCACGCTCGCAGGGAATCCCGAATTTCTTTTAATCGGCGCTATTCGACTGCCCAAAAACAGGTCACGGTCGACGGATCAGGAATGGTCATCAACAGAGACAAAACGATGGGTAATTAAACGAAAATATATTATATATAAATATATCATATTATAAATTATATGAAAAATATATCACCTTCTACAGGTGCTTTTCATTTGGCCTCGTTTAAACTATCCTGTAGTTCTTCAAAATAGTACTGTCAATTTTATCTATTGTATTAGTATGTCAATTGGTCTGAACATAATGAATAAATTAATAAAGGTTTATCTTGATTAGCGCAAAAAATTGGCAAAAGTTAGTTTATTGTAACAGAAAATATTACAAACAATAATGCAAAATTCCAAAAAAACTTGACAAAACAACCCTCCAAATAAACCTTTTAAGGCGCGATACGGCAACGGCAACAAGAATGTGACAATGACGCTCAACATCTGACAGAATTGTGATTGTCCGTTTTTTACGTTATGTAGTCGTAAAAACATTAATAAAATTTGCTATTTTTTGAATATGACCACTGTCTTATCTTGTCCATATATATATATATATATATATCAATTTGTCCTTATTTTCCCTACAGTAAATTAGTAAAAGAACTAGGTACTGTTTTTTTAACTGTTTCTAGCACATTTTCCACATTTACCTAATTTAAAACACTAATTCCTCGATTTTACCCATATTTTAAAAAATCCTCGAGTGGAATTAAAAGAGCGCTAAATCTAAACAAAACAGCGTTAAGCGGAGTTTTACTGAAAGTACATTGATATGTAGCTTAGTGAATAATAAAAGAAAAAACATACTGGAATATTTTTCTCATTTGTTTTTTATGAATTAGAAAAAACAACATTCATTAAATTTTTAGGGGCATTATCCAGTGGTTGGTAATCCATTTCGCTGTTAAATATAGTTTTTTTTTAATAAAAGAAATATCAATTTATAAAATGAATAGCCACAAAAAATCTGTTAATTATTCCATGTATACATGCGCTTCCAAAAATAATTAGGAATGTTTAAAATATCAGAATGTATAAGAGTTTCAATTGTAATATGCATGTAAAAAAATTATTAGAATGAAAATTATTAAATTGAATTAGAATTGAAATTAAAAATAAAATGGTAAAAAGAAGTAAGAAGATAAAAAGGGAAGAATGAAAATAAGTTGAAAAAAATATGTAGAAGAATAGGATGGTTTTTGGTTTCTGAGAAAACGTCGATAAAAGGTCCAATTTTGACAAACGCCAAAAAAACGATACTAATTTTTGCAAACTTTGATGAATTTTTAAAATTAAACGACTTGTCGTAGGGCCGTAATATTTTAGTATGATCTACAAGTCTATGGTATCTATATCTATACTGTAAAAAAATCATAAAACCACTTTTATCAATGTGTCGAACTATGTTTAACAAATATATTTATATTAAAATTTATATTAAATTTTACGTAAAAATCGTCACGGTATCTTTTAGGACTCTCAAGTTCTGATAACCATTGAAACAAATAATAATTGTTATAATATAAAAAGTTGATATAATTAGATAATATACTGAAAATTTCGAAAAAAGAAAAAGATTAAAAATATTCACATAGTTTCCAATCTAGAATGAGATAAAGTGGAAGATCTCAAAAAATTGGCACCTGGTCATAAACACGATTTCAACTGAAATCCAGGGAGAGCTAGAGGGATTATGGCTAGTCCTCCAAATAATATGAAGAAAAACATAGATTCATTTTATTAAACTCGAACAAAGTCTCAATCGAATGAACTTCTGACAAGTTGAAAAAGCAATGTTATTTTGAAAAAAAAAACGTTTGTGATATTTTAGCATAAGGAAGACTATGTCAAGTAAATCCAATCCAGTAGATGTTGAGCAATAGTGGATAACCTATCGAAACAAACAGCTTCGAGTAAAGCGCGAATAAAGTTTCGCAGAAAAGGGAAACAGGGATGGATGATCGTAGTCAAACAGCTATAACTCCATTTTTTTAATTACAATCTGTCACACTTAGGACATTCAGAAATTGTTTTGACTTTATTATATGGATTTTTGAATGGGTAGCAACCCAGTAGTTGTCCAATACAATTTTGACTAATTAACTATACTCGAAATATTTGTTGACATTTTTATATAACTCAAAAATAATTTAAATTTTGAAAAATCCCCTTGAATCTTGAATAGTTAAACTTTAAATATCCAAAAAAGAACAAAATCGATTTTTTTTAAATCTACACCAGAAAACCAGAAAACCGCCTTTAGCTATTTATAAATCCCTATAAAATATATTAGTTATCAATCATCAATAACAAACATTATTTTAAATCAATATAGGTACCAAAAAGTCACTTCTGCTACGCCGTAGCTCCGTACCAGTATGGGCAGTCAGTTCTGGTATAAGAGAATCTCCTGCCGGCTCCAGAAGACCATCAATCGATTCTGAAGACGATTCATCAATGGATAGAAAGAGAATTCGTATTATTAGACGATACTAAAATAAAAACAAATTTAATATTATTAAAAATAATCTATAAAAGGAAAAAAGAGTATTGAATACTCCAAATTAGGTTTTTATTATCTAAAAATAAAACCCGTTACTTTAATAATCACTGAAATTTTATTTAAAAACAATTTTTGCTATATTAAATATATAGCGAATTAATATAAAATATATATATATATATATATATATAATATCTATTTATATTAATTTTTATTTTTTGTAAATACAAAAAAATCTAAATAAAATTCAAAGAAGATAATTTTATAAATGAAATTAGGTAGAATAAATTCTATTTCATTATATTCCATTTTAGATTCATTGCATTGAGAATTTGCCACTTGGGATTTGTAAATAATATTTTCAATAATTTATAAAAAATTTGAGGAAAAAAAATGCATGATACAATTCTGTGAAAACAAACAAAAATTCATGTAAATGTGAAAAAAGATTGAAAGAAAATAAATTAATAAATAAAATTATGAATATGTCATAATAGTTACTGTTTTTGTTATTAAAAAAAATAATTCACCTTGAAAATTTTTCCATATCTTCACGTTTTGAAGGTTTCTGAACATTTTGGCATACCTCAGAAAAAATGGATGTATGTGTGTGTGTGTTTTGTGTTCGCATTTTTTCGTCCACGTTTTCGGGCGCACGGATCAACCGATTTTAATGGTTCAAAAAAATTCGATTCCTTTTGATAGGGAGATGTGCTGATCAGTTTCTGGCAAAGGCAGGTGCAGTCATTACGGAGATAAAGAGCAAAGAGTGCTGAAAATAGAAATCGAGTTTTTGAGAGAACGGAGCATCCGAATTAAATGATCCAAAATACATTCAATTTGTAATGATTGGGGGAAGTGGAGATTAGTTTTTGGCAAAAGCAAGTCCAGCCATTTAGAAGATACAGAGCTAAATGTACATGAAATGGCAGTTTTTGAGCATCCGATTTGAATGATTCAAAAAATTTCTGCTTGTGTTGACAAAATAATTGCTTTTGGAAAAAAAAAAAATTTTTTTTTTGCATATCTAAAATAATTCGGATTTTAATTTTAATTCTGGCTAAAGTTCTAAGCATCACTTATAAACTTTAAATAATTTTAACTTTGTAATTCAGTTTATATAATTCTTATAAATATTGGAAAAGTTTACAGTGTTTATAATAATCTATTTGAAAACATTTAATATTCCTCGAACATTTCGTTACGATACGGAAAGTTCCAGCAATTTGCCTTGATGAACAATGCCAGCAATAAGTTTTTTATGGATATTTAAATAAATTAATGGTAAATGATAAAACAATTTATTAGTTGAAACATTTATTTTTATATAAAAATGTATAAATAAATATTTTATTTATTGGAACGCACATTCAGAGATGTCATTAATACTAATTTAAAAAGTATTGAAGTACCATACACCAAATATATACATATAGAACTATGACATTATATACAATATAAAAATTAAATAGGAAGAGATCAATATTGTACAAATAAAGTATATCAATATAAAAATCCTTACATATCTTAAAAATAACCATAGTACAATTTCTAAAATTTGTGTCCGTGAACATTTTGTAAAATAAATTACAACTATATTTGCACATAATTAGTAAAAAAAAATACTGCAGTCAACACAAAAGTATTCAGATGTAAAATACAACTTAAAACTTTATCTGTTACAATATTTAATTAAATCATCATCAACTAATAATAAATTACTATAATAATACCTTAACTAAAATCACTTGGGACGAATACTTACAAAAATATACATAATCTATATTTATAAAAAATTAAAGTTCCATAGTTCTCTAAATTTACACACATAAAAAATGTTTCATATATACACTCGTTTTACAAACTTTATCGTAATATTGTGAATTGTGACATAATTCACAAGCTTATTTTTATTTCGCTGCTTTATCAATCTCATATATTGTTCAGTTGCTTTGTTTATTCATCGGGGACTCTCCAAGATAATCTTTTGCCAGTTTCATATAGTTTTTGTAAAGCACTGAGTATCGTACCAGATGATTCCAATTGTAGATAATGTTTGTATAGTTGCAACGCGGCCCGCGCGTCTTCAGCTGAATCGTGTGTCACAGATTGTATTCTAATACCTGAATAATAATTAGTAATTTACTTTTAATATTCAGTATTATACTTTGAACTTATATGAAATATTCTGGTCTGTTTCACATCGACTTCAGATGTCGAAAATAAAACAATAAAACAACTTTTCCTTTGAAATAAAAGTTTCAGAGTAATTAACTTCCTGTAGAAAAATTTTGATATATCTTTACGTTTCAGAGGTTTCTGAACATTTTGGCATACCTTAGAAAAAATGCATGTATGTATGCATGTATGTATGCATGTATGTATGCATGTTGTGTGTGAGTGTGTGTGTGTGTTTATATGTGCGGATACTATTTTTATCGACGATTTTGGGAACACGAATCAACAGGTTTAAATCCTTTAAAAAATATTTGATTCCTATTGATAACACCTGCTTATTAGTTTTTGGCAAAGACAGATCCAGCCGTTTCGAAGATACAAGGCAAAAAGAGCCAAAAATAAAATTAAAGTTTTTGGGAGATCGCAGCGTCCTATTTGAATTATTCAAAAAACCATTTTACTTGTATTGACAAAATGACCAGCAATTTGCCTTGTGGCGCTATGCCATGCACCACTAGTTCACGTTGTCTCTGTATGGAAGTGGAATTCAACTAGTTGTAAGCAGTTTTTTGCCTTGAGGCAAATTGTTCTATTGTTTATTCAAAAATAAAATGTTCGTTTTCACTAAAATACAATCAATACAAGTTCCTATTGATGTCTTTCCAATATACTTTCAATATTGATTTTTGACTTAAATTTGTGTTTAACACATTTCATTTCATCCATATCGGATTCTCAAAATATATTTGAAGATATGGCATAGATTCAGATTAGAATCTCTCAAGCTTACCACAAAATTCTACACTTTGAAAATTTTTTATAATTTAACACTATTCCTGCCGACATTTCATGTTTACTATTCCTACCGCGACCGGTCAAATGACCGGTCATGCAAAATCTATATTTTTCAGTATTGAATGAAGAGTAAATGCTAGTTTAAGAGTTTATAAATACAAATACAAAATATTTCTTTCATTTTAGAATGCGAAATCTACATTTTATTCTGTTTTATCAAATTTTTTACGATTTTTTTTCTTAGAGTGTATTTACTGCACACGCATTTTTTACGTTTTTGGCTGATTTTGTTCGCCCTATCATCTTTCTGAAACATTATCTGGAATAATACTTAGTTGATTTTTTTTCTGAATTCTTGTTGGAACTATACGGGAAGTTAATTAAAATAGAAATTAATTTTTTCAACATATGCGTATGTAAGTGAAAATTAGAATCTTCTATCTTAGCTTCCAAAATTGTAAATATTATTTGAGTGAAATCCGTGATTTTTAGTTCTACCAGTATTTGTAGCTGTTATATTGCTTCAATTGTACCTACCATCACAGTTTCTTTCTTTACTAAAAGTTTAGCTATAAGTAGGATGGTAAGAAACGCTTAAATTTTTTATACGGTTTCATTGGTTATAAATCTCCAAAGAAATTCTCAGTTTTCTATGTATACTGGATGGTTATCAAAATTTTACACCCCATTTGCGCGATTTGCTGGGCATAATTATATTTACATTGTATATTGAACAGTTACTAAAATTTTATACTACGTTTTCCTGAATATTATTGAACATGTATTGAATAAATTTACACCTTACCTTTATTGAAAATATATGTTTGTCGATAGTAATACATGGTCTTTTACAACAATTTTGATTGCTGTCAAGGTAGTTGAACCAACCTTTGGATTCAAAACAAAACCTATCAATTTGTTGTTTGGATTCCTTCGTAAAAATCTGTCTACACATAGACTTTGAGCAAAAATGAGAAAACCCACTTTGTATACCGTAGAAGTGCAATATTTATACTCCTTGCCTCATATGCGCAGCGTGCATACAGAATTGAAAAAAATGCATATACATTTGCAGAAGGCAGTTTTTACCACTCTAAATTCCTCTAAATTTACATTTTCTTGTAAGTTCGATCATATTCTTAACAATTACTACAAAAAATGCCGTCCGAACATCGTCTTTCGTACTACCGGTCAAATGACCGGTCGCGGAAGGTAAGACAGTATACAATTATTTTTCCAAAAATAAAAATTAAAAAAACAAATTTACATTGAAAAATGTATCATACTCACATATTAGGAAAAGTCATGAAGTTTGATGACGATTCAATTACATTTGATATGAAAAATACTAATCGAAAAATCAAAAACGGTCATTTGACCAGTCCAAGTAGGAATAGTGTTAACCACTTATCGTAGTCCAATAACATTTTAGTATGTTATATCAGACTATAAAAACTATCACTATACAAGTTTGATCAAAAATCGTCAAAAAAAATTCGTTATTTGTTAAATATTTCTCAAATACTATTTCTAAAACGTTTCTGAATTTCTAATACGGTCTCAAACGTCTCAGAATAAATTGAAACGTCGAGAAAATACAATTAGCAAATCAAATTTGCTGCAGAAAACATTCTTGGCAAAGTAAAAAAAAAAAAAAAATTAGTAATAAGTCAATCACTCACCAAGAAAATGCCAAGCTAGAAATCGTAAAGACACCATTCTATGATGCGGTAAATGGAATAGATGTACAGTATCAGCAACTTGATTTGGGGGGACAATTAAGTTAATAACTCGAAAATCATTCTTCAATCCATGACCAACAAAAACCACTCCAGTATCAGCCAGATATCGTAACTTTTGATATGTGCTCTTTAGTGTTGTCAAATGTTTCGAACTATAATTTGCATCTAGATCTCCAGGCTGTATACCAGAAAATTTAGTTAAATAATCGACAACTTGTTCCTGTGTACTTATATAATCGTCTATAAATGGAGTGCCTTCATCAGGTCCTTCTCTGTAAAAGCAACAATTGCATATATTGTACAATGTGAATGACAATATTTTGAATCAAAATTGAATTATCACAATAATCTACTATCATAAAACAGCCAAAATAATTTTATGGTGGGAAAACTGACAAAATTGTTCATATTTTCATTTTACCATTAACATTTTTCTAGAAAACTTATACTCGCTCGAAGTTCGTATATCGAAGCAACGTATCTCGCTGCTTGAGCGCCTTGTATCTCGAAACACTCGTATGTCGGATCGCTCGTAAGTCGGGATACCACTGTATAGGTAAACAATCAGTATCATAAATCGATCATGCTTACCCCCTTATACAAGTTATTCTCGCAACACTCATGTGACTAGGTTTAATTGTAGCCAGTTTTCCATCACTTCTTAATTCTGCTTCCTCAGGATTTAGGGTCACAAATTCTGCATCCATCGCAACCAATTGTCCGCGCTTTGGGGCTTCTTGTCTTCCCAAAGGCTTCCACGTAAAATGAGATCCGTTTATGGAATATGGCGAGCGTCGAGTTAACGAGGACATATCCTCATTGAAAATATCCTAGCAAGAATATCGAGATAAACAAATATTAATAATTCTTAATAATGTAATGATAAAGTTACCTGGGTAAGAGGATTGACAATTGGTGGCAAAAGCTCTAAATGTGGATTTGTTTCACACAATTCGTAACTAGAATAGAACAGAACACAAGGTACTTTCCAGTCAAGACTAAACCAAACAGCCTCATTTGGCGAAATGGGAGAAATACTAGATTCAAAAAGAAAATTAGATTTTTACATTTCCACAATTAATTGTCGGTTTCAACTGAACACCCACCTAAAATCATTAAAAATATACCATTGCCCAGATCTATTATATGTTGTGCCCATTCTTTGCACATGATAACTATGAGGAACATGTATAAGAGCAACTAAATTTCTTTGGTGATCATCTACATAACAGACAACTGATGATAAGTAATATGATTTTTGATGAATAGGCTCTGTACCGTTTATAAGTTCTCTTTGCTTTATGTCGACATGATCAGTACCATTAATCGATTCAGACATTCTACCTGCAGCATCTGGTTGCACTTCCGCATCGCCCTATGGTTTTTCGGTTTTAATTTCATTTAAAAATAAATACGTTATACAGAAACATGCAAAATTCATAAATATCCTAAAATGCAATTTAAGATTTCTCATTAAAGAAGGATCAAACAAATATTTCTTTCAATATTTACAGGTAATACATCATCATGTAATCTTTCTACAAAGAGCAATTTATCTTCTTTGAGTTTCATTCGTAGACGTTGTGGCAGCCAAGAGTTTTTAGTTTTGTTATTGCTTTCGCTGGAAGAAGTATCTGAGCTACTTTCATTTTCCATAGAATTTTTATATGTACTTGAACAATTGCAAGCACTGTCTGGAGTATTTAATATGGAATAATTTTTGCTGAAATCAATAACAAAATTTTAAAACATTTTTCAAGTTATTTCTGAACATTTCAGAAGAAAAGTTTAAATAAAAATGAGTTCTATTATTTAATTCAACAAGCTAAAATGTAATGTAATATTAGTAAATTAATTAAGTTATAATAAAAATAAAATTAATTAAACAATAAATATGATTAAAATATCATTTTAAATTATGAAATCAACAAAAAAAAATAAATAAAATGTCGAGTATTTATCTTAAGATTAAAAAGTATGTTAGCTATCTGACTTATTTTCCCACAAAATTTTATGGAATAAAAAAGAAATTAATATGTTTCCACTCACTTGTCAGGATGAGTGAAATGGCAGCCTGGCCGTGAACAATTTGCCCCATATCTACAAGGTTTTGACAATAGTGGAAAACTGCTTTCTCCTTTAGAGCATGTAACTTGTTGATTCATTTGTTTTGACCAGAATTCTTTATCGAAGTTATTATCAAGACCACAATTTATTGCCAAAACCTTAGGTAGTTTTGTGACTTGAGAACTCTGAATTGTAGGAGTGAATTTTGAGCAATTTTCACACCATGCTGGTGTAGTTTTTTCTGGACATAAAGAAGGTGCCAGTATAGATTCGAATGTGTATAAGTGGTCCCTTTGATTTGGATAAATTAGATTGCAAAGAAGGATGATGTTTTCTTTAACTTCCTATAAAAGTTATAAGCATTAGAATATATAAAAAAATAATTTGATATAATTGAATGCAATATTTCACTTGTATCGACGGAAAACAGCTACGCAGAGCGATTGCTTAAAAAAGTTCATAATTTTTAAAAAATTTCAAAATTTTGAAGAAAATTCAAAATTAATTATGTTACAAAAAATCAAAATCTTTAAATAGTTTTGAGGCTTCTGATTTAAATTCCGATGCAAGCAATAAATATTTACTAGCTCTAATATTATATTTGTTAATAGATTATTAATTATCTACTACTAATACTTACTTCTCTACCACATTTCAGACAACGATTTATTTGCCTTTGTTTTGTACCAAATAATTTGCTAATTTCAGTTTCGTCATCATCTTTGCTTGATGATTGATCGCCAGAACCACCAGTTGCTTTATTCCTAATATCATCCTCATCTATTAAAAAATAAGTAGCATTGATAACATTTTGTAATGTAAATCTAATAGTATAAAATCAACTTCTCAGTCAAAATATAAATAATAAATTAACTACCTACATCAATAATCCTTTAGTATGAAATTTAAACCAGCAGATGTTAAATGTTACTATATACAATAATTTATAATCTTCATCCTTTCTAAATAACTCATGCTACAGAATAGATCACCAAAGCAAATAATATTAGAGAACAGGTTACCCAAACAAAATAGGAAAATACTTTATTTAAATTTGACAAAAATGTAAGTCTGCCTTGACATTTAACTACACATGCTGTTATTTACATTAAACCTAAAATATCAAACGTTAAAACAAAATACGATAGCAACATAACAAGTAGCTACAGATGTTAGTAAGAAAATTGTGAAAGTTATTGTTCAATCATATATGGAATTATACCAATAATGAATTGGTTAGGGTAACACAATATCATTTACTTTCGGGCATGATCAAAATATTATTTCAATATTTAGTGGGGTCTAAAAAATATATTGAATTGCATGTAAAATTTTTTAGTACACGGATATGTGCTTGAAGTAACAACCCTGCGACAAACTCAAAATCACAAAATCAAGTAAAAACAAACTTTTAATGATATGCTTCAAAAATCAAATTGTTATTGAAGGTTCGTGTCCTTTGTATTTAAATACAGTGGTACTCCGACATTCATTCCGAGAACACGATCGTATGTCAAATCGATCGTAGTTCAAATCAATTTTTTCTATATAAATATATCGAAATGCCAGTAATTCGTTACAGTAATGTGGTTTTTGTTAAGTTTTATAAATATTAAAAATAAATTTACTGTTTTAATTAACTTAATTAATTAACTTCCCATAGAGTAAGTTATTGTGATTGTCCAAAAATCAAAATTTTTTGAAAAGAAAAAATTGATGTTTGTGCGTATGTATAGATACAATTTTTCGTCCATGTTTTCAGGCACAAGGAACAACCAATTTGAATCGTTCAAGATTGGGTGAAGTGATAATTAAATGTCAGTTTTTGAGAGAAATAAGCATCCGATTTGAGTGGTTCAAGAATCTTTCACCTTGTGTTGACAAAACAATTGCTTTTGAAATTTTTTTATTTCAAAATTTTAAACAAAGATTAACATACATTTTTTTTTTGTACATCGAAAATAATTTGGATTTCAATTTCAATTCTGGCTAAAGTTCTAAAGCTCGCTTATATACTTATACAATTATATACAATTCTGGTACGGATAGTTCCAGAAATTTGCCTTAAGGCACTATGTGATACCCCACTAGTTTGTGTTTTAATTTGTCAAAATAATCCTCGAAGTATTTGCATGGGTAAATAGTTACTACAAAATTAACATTAATATATAATTGAAATAACTAACTATAAAATAATTTATTAGGAAAATCATTGTTACAGCTGACAAAGTTTTTCATATTTTTATTTTGCCATTAACATTTTTCTAGAAAACTCTTACTCGCTCAAAGCTCATATCTCAAATTTTGCTTTTATGTAAAAGAAGAAGAAAAAACTCTTATATGGAGTCACTCATAAGTCAGGGTACCACTGTATAGACAAACTTTTAACAAAATGCTTTAAAAATCGAATTGTTTTTGAAGGTCCTTAGTATTTAAGTATTTCAAAAAATTACAGGATGTAAAAATGGTCAAAAATAATGCTCAATCAGTTTTGATATCACGTGTTACCTTTATCCATGATTGGTATTATCCACATATATTTACCATCTCCCTCTTTATGCCTATCTTCCTTGTCTCTATGCTTACGTCGAGTCTCTCCACCTATTATACTAGGAAAATCTTGCTCCTTATAAACAAAATCAGGTTGTTTTGGAATTTTTTCACTATTTTTATTCTTCTCATTTTCAAAATTTCGTTTTCGTGTCTCTAGTATTTCAAAGTGCATTTGATGCAATATGAATCTATTCCAACTCTAAAAATAGTTTGATATAAGAAATGCAAAACATTTACTTCATTAATAATTATTTTACCTGTATCAACCCAATTAGATTTACTTTTGCTCTTGCATCTGGGTGTCTATCAGACAAAATTAAACCCAATGCTGAAGCTTCTGGAACAGTTCTAAATGCTCTTAGAAAATTACTAGCTTGGCAGGGAATTCCTATAATAATAATTACACAAAATTAATGTACAACATTTTTATTAAAATATTAAAACTAAAAAATGTACCTGCAGACTTATCCAGCATGTAAAATAAAAATCCTAATTCACAAGATAAACAAAATTCCCTTTGACATGTATGAGACATTAAAGCATGTCTTACTGGTTGCATAAAATATAATACCTGTAAATGCACTGAAAATATATTTACATTCTTTTTCAAAACATTATATCATTTAGACAAAACGTCCAAAAGCATTGATATTTATAACACCCTTTGTTAATCACTTTAGTGATTTATGCACCGAGGATAACATGTATAATTGTTAATCATTATATTCTAAAAAATGGGATTATCAAATTGATTCTTAAATTTAATATGGTTACTAAATAAAATTTTGACCTGTAGCATAGCATTGCAATACGAGTTAGGTAGTGTTGCTTCTAATCCAGAAAATCCAGTTCTATTGTACATATTGAAATCAAAATCACTGCACCCCAATTTATTATATTTGACTTCCACCTTCCTATAGCGTTTAGGAATAGTTTTTAGGCCTGGTATATCACTAAGAACTTTATCATTTGAATTCATGAAAGGTGAATTTTGCTGTCTTGTTGTGTTGAAATCTAAAATGTAGGGTACCTAAAACAATAATCTTATATTGAATAAAATACTTATGATAATAGAGTTAATAAATAATTATTTTAATGGTGGCTTAGAAAGTCAAATATAGTCATATTATTAAATAGTCAAATATATTTGTTCATCTAGTCAAACATAATAATTTATTAAACAATCTCAAGGGTGATAAATTATTTATGCCTATTAAATATAGACATAACTTTTTCATCAAATTAGTTTCTATACTAAACTAAACTATTACATTAACAGGAATTCATTGAAATATATCTCAAATTAAATTATTACAAAAAATTATCTACTTCATTTTTAGCATTATATATCAATCAAATCGAATCTTGTAAATATGACTGAAATTCAAATGATATAATTCAAGTTAAATAAAAGTTTCTCACTTGATTCCTGCGAGTAGTATGTGGGTTTGGAGCATATCCAATAGGACCCTGCATCTTCATTGTTTGCAATATTTCAGAGTCTATAGGTTTAGGTCTCCTACATTAATTTAAGCCAGTTTTGAATTATAATATATACAAAAATACTTTGAACAATTTTTTCGAACAAATATTGCAATATAAATTATTTGTTCAATCTATGATTGGTTACATACTGACTAAAAATTAATCGCATTAAAATTTTCATGCAGTAAGCTTGGAATAGGTAAATTCCTATTTAATCATGTCTAATAATAGAAAAGATAATCATCAAAGACTTAATTTAATAGACATAATTAAAATAAAAATATAATCAAGAAAAAATTTCTATACTTTAATCTAAGAAATTTTTATCGTAAATTCCTATAAGACCATATCAATGCAAATAAGGGAAAGAAATATGTTAAAGAATCATTCAAATTTGCATTATAAAGCAAATTTCTATTTCGATTTCATGAGTAGAGATATGGGCACTACAATATTAAACATTCTAAAAGAAATCAAATAAGAAAGCAAATTATGTGTGATAATAGTTTTGAAAAACTTTGCAGAACTGCATTAGAGTCTTCTCATAACACCCTTTATTATCGAGATTAGATCACTAAATATCACTAAACAAAGCATCATTAAAATTAACTCAAACTAAACATTAAATAAGTAATTAACAAGTTTAGCATAATTTTTTACCCATCAACAAATTGAGAAAAAAATTCTTTTACTCACCAATAATTGTATTTTAGTAACTGGTCCGGCCAGTCACTGAGCCAATGATTACCGGTTGTTAGTGCCGGTAAAGGTATTGAAGAAAGTGGGAATGTGTTGTCTGTTAATGAAACAGTAGGAAGCGGCTCAATAGAATCTGCAAATTCAGTTTCCCTGAAAAAGTCAATTAAATTAATTAGAAAATATGATGCATAAATTAAATAGCATGGGTTATAACCCATACTAGTAAAAAATGTTTTAGGAAACTTATTGCTTAAATTATTTTTGTAAAGTAATAATAACTTTAGAAGAATTACTAGAAAGAACATATTAATACCTGTTATTTGCTAAAATTTGTATAAAACTCATTAATTTTGAGAAAAAACCCATACAAAATATAAACTAAGCTTAATACAAATACTAAAACAAACTATAGAACAATATTAATTATAAAAATTAGCTTTGAAGTATAAGTCAAAGATGACATGATTCAAACCATTATAGATTATTGCAAAACTTTAAAATTTGAATTTATCAACGCATTTTCTTAAAAACTATTAAAATAAGGTTGTATACAGCAAATAACAGTAGTTTGGTGTCACCTAATTTTTTATTAAACATTTTTTAATTAACTAACTATATTATGTTGTTATTGCTGACATTTAAAAATATGTTATTAAAATATATTGAAATTTAGTATACCTAGAAAAAGTATTAAAAATAGGTTCTTGATTAGATGCACCAGCCATCAATTGTATATGACCAGATTGATCTCCAAATACCATTGCTTGGCTTGTTGAAGAAATATCAAATGACAAACACATTGATGCATTTGTATTGACCTGAGAATAATTTCATGTTGAGAGTTTTCTTTCAGCTTTAATAAAAGTTACGTTATAAGCATAAGGTAATTCATACTTAGCATAACAAAAGTGTGTTCATTGAAACGCTAACCATGTGATGACTACATTATATACATAAAAAAATTATAATACTATAAAACATTATTTACCTGAAATAAACTAAGTTTAGGTTCCATCAGCTGCACTAAATCTACAAGTTGCACTTGGCCAATAGCTGAAACTACAGCTAATCTAGATGAAACTCTGGGGAGAAATCTGAGTAATAATGGATCACAAATCACTTGTATTGGTGAGACAGACCTCAACATTCGAACATCAAACACCATAAGAAATCTGTCTACCACTAAAGTATTTTGTCTACTACCGAATCCACATGTAACAATATAATTTCCTTGAACATCAAAATCTGATAAACTACCAGAATGTGATTCTAATGTATGTTCCACTTTTAGAGAATTGGGGTCACGTAATGTTAAACATCCAACCGGGTCACCAGCACACAACATTTGACTGTGGTTTCTCAATATTGCGCAACCATTGCACCCAGCATACTCCTAAAATATTCAAAATGATTAATATATCCTGTGGTAACTATGCTAAATAATATTGTGTTAATTTTATGAATATGAGGTCAAAGACCTATAAGTTGTCACTAAATAAAAGTGGGATTTTCTTACATAATTGGTTTCTAAACCTCTCATAAGATCAAAGTCAACCAGTTTATCTTGATGTCCTCCCATTACAATTCTAGTTGGTGACATTTGGAGTAAACATTGCATATCAACAAAATTTTCAGACCTAAAATAAATATTAAAAATATTAATTATGCAGTTTGAATATGAAAAAGTAATATTACTATGAAAACTAACAGTACTTACACATGTGTAAACTTAGGAAGACCCCTTCGTATATGGCATCTTAAAGAGGTACTCGTAAGTGAAAGAATTCCTGGTTCAATTGGATATATTTGTCTGATTTCATCTGCCATATGCACTTGAAAAGATGTATATTTTTGCATTGTTGGTCCATAGTATGAAGTAACATGGCCCTGCATAACAAAATGGACATTAAATACATTTTCAATGGTTACATTCTTTGATAATTAAGTCAGTTAAGATTTCAAACTGTGTGATCTAATATTTTCGTGTTGTTTATTTTTCTGAATTATAATGATAAATTTTAATGCTACCATATAATAAATAGCTTCTTTGATAACTATATTGTGCAAAAAGGATTATTTCAAGTATCCAAATGCTAAACTTAATTGACAATGAGCCATTGATTTGGACTTATGATAGATAAATAATCAAAGTAAATTAAATACATAAAGTTTATATAAAAGTTTATCTTTTACCCCCTGGTTCCCCATCCATATAAGTTCTTCATTTGTGTCAAAAGTAATTGCTGAGACTCCATATCTATCACCCCCATCTGCCAGAACCTGAGCGATTTCCGTATATTCCGAAAAATGATCGTTAATATAAGTCTGACTAAAATCGGGCGAGTAGTGCCCACTGTGGCTGGCATCTTCGTACACTAAAAATAACATAAATAACGCGCGTAAATGTCAAGTTGACAAAACAACTGTATAACCTCGAAAGAAACAAAACGTTTCCATAGATATTTCTATCTAAAATAAATCAAATTACTTGTCAAAGTGAGTATATCATCGCATCGGCTAATTGGATCGACGGGATAATGATAATCCATTATCCAAGATAATGGATGGATTTGTTTGGGACCACTATTGACAAATACGTACAGCTGTGTTGTTATTAATGGCGGCGTATTGTCTAAACTACTTTTAGAAAAGCTTGTTTATTCATTGCAGAGCGCTATAACATCGGCAAAGAAGTTTTACAGCTATATTCAATACATATGCCTGATTGAAGCGACAGATGACTCTAATATATTGTTATTAGAGTTCTTTTTTTATCATCAATGAAAGAATCATAATTATTCTCATTAAACTTGAGCTTAATTATAAGTCTCTGTTAAAGCATATCAACATTAAATTCAAGATTATGTGCAATTGTACATATCTATATTTACAGTTTCAAAAGTGGCGCTTTTTGTTTCATTATCCTTTGTTAAGTTGGTGAAACAATATGGTTCATGAAATTTCTTAGCTGTCATTGTGTTAAATTTGTACGTCAACTAATTGTCATAAATGATAATTTTTCATCATTCTAGAACAAGTTAAATATTTGATCATATGAGTTTTTTTACGTTTTACTTTTTATTTAATTTATAAAGTGCCTGTGTAAAAATGGAATAAATATTATTTAGAAGATAAATCTGTTTGTGTATATTTCATATTAATCATGGGTATTTTTAATCTTTCATCACCTTTCGATGCTGATATCGGTATGTTCAGGGTGTTAAATTATTTTCTATATCTATTTACATTATGAAGTAATATTTTGTTTTTCTATGTACTTAGAAAAAGCCACAAGTGAAAATAACACTTCAGAACAATGGGGAGCCATTATGGATGTTTGTGATAAAGTAGGATCAAGTGCTGCAAATGCCAAAGATGCTTTACGTTCAATTGTTAAAAGACTTTCACATGCAGACCCTCATGTAGTAGTTCAAGCCATTACTGTAAGTCTATTTTTTTGTTATTTAGGCAACAATCTGAACATGAACATGAACATTTTATGAAAACATTTGATCTTTAATACGAATTAGTCTTCATTAGGTTGCACAAACTATATATGTATGGCTTGTAAGTTACAAATCACATTCGACATCTTCATTTTGAATACAAAAGTACATTCTACTTTAATATTCTACTTAAATATTCATAGCCAGAGAGTAATATAAATTAAAATTTATACACTTAAGTATGGGACCTTTTGTAAATAAAAAACACAATTCTTATCATATGGAAATCAGAATGTCCATAAAAGTGTTTACATTTCATCTTAGTTTTATCTTGATAAGCTTAATCTGGATAAATTTGTCTTATGAGTCATTTGTCAACATGCAAATTAATAACATAATTTTTGCTCATAAATGCATCATTTTAAACTTAATTATATTAATATATTATTAAATTCAATTCAAGATGAAATGATTGAAAATTAATTTCTATTTTACATCAATACATTTCTTTTTTCAGCTTCTTGATGCTTGTGTAAATAATTGTGGTAACAATTTCCACTTAGAGGTGGCATCACGTGATTTTGAAAATGAATATCGTAGATTACTTTCAAAAAGCCAACCAGCCGTAGCTTTAAAGTAAGTAAGAACTTTCAGGGCTTCTAAGTCTTTTGATTTCACCACAATTTTACGTCAATTACAGATTGAAGCAATTACTAAAAAAATGGTCAGAAGGAGAATTTAAATCTGACCCTCAACTGAATTTGATTCCATCACTCTACAATAAATTGAAAAGTGAAGGTGTTGATTTCTCTGATGTGCAATCTAATGTAAGTTTGAAATAATTATTCAGTAATCAAATATTGTATTAAAAGATCAGTTGATGATAATGATAAATTTGTAATTAGACACCTAAACAACATCCAGTAAGTAAAGATCCAAATGTAGTTTCATCACAACAAGAGGAAGATGATATAGCAAAAGCTATAGAATTATCTCTAAAAGATAAAAGTAATTCAGTGCGACCACTTTCATCAAATTCTGTGAGTTAATCTTAAGTACAAATAAAATTATTTCTTATTTAGATACAACTGTTGATTTGTATTTTTCACTATTAGGCTAGTTCTTCCCTCTATCCATCTATGCAACTTTCTGCACCCATGCCTAGTACATCAAATAATTCAGAGCCCCGCAAAGTCAGAGCTCTATATGACTTTGAAGCAGCAGAAGATAACGAATTGACCTTCTTAGCTGGTGAAATAAGTAAGAAAAATTTACTGATTTTAAATAGTGCTGTAAATTCAATAAATTTCTTTTTAATTTTTGTTCTTTAGTCCATATGCTAGATGATTCAGATCCTAATTGGTGGAAGGGATATAATCAACATGGAGAAGGTTTATTTCCTGCAAACTTTGTAACTGCTGATTTATCAGTTGAACCAGAACAATTTAGTCAGTATCCAAAACAATTTTGATTAGATACTATTATTAATGTAAGGTTTCTATAAGGAAGAAATTATTTTAGGAATTGATGCTAACAAGAAATCTGTTCAATTTTCTGATGCTGTTCAAGTCAAACTATATCTCATGATGA